ATATTTTCTCAGCTAACTATGTGGAGCATTTTTCTAAGTGGTTTACATAATTCTCAAAGCAACCCTAGGAGAGAGTACTAATAATAACCTCCTATTGCAGCTGAGGAAGCTGGAGTCAGAGCAGTGAAATAACTCGTTCAAACTCTTCTTTCTAATAAGCAAAGCCACACTATTACACAGACAGCCTCACCCAGGGTCAACAGTCTGTGATCCCAAATCCCAAGGAAGTATAACTGATTTGGATTTAAAAAACGTTTGTTCATGAAAGCTTGTAACTATCTCAAGGTGATTCAATGAAATTTTAAAAAAGTTTGTTTCACAATGAAAACACCAGTAACTTATCTGGAGGAGGAGGGTTAACATATGAGTCTTTAGAATATTTAACAAAAGCTATTCAACAAAATTCTACTTCTTTTAAGATGCTAAGTCCTCTCCAAGTTTAAAAAATATACAGTATATAAGTATTAGTATCTGATGTATACATGATGCTAAACACAAAGAGCTAGTATTACACACACTTTAGTCTTTCAGTAGAATTTTTAAAATGTGGGTCTCATCCTGCTAGCGGTGTAGGGAAACAAGGTGGGAAAGAGGTCGTGACCAGTAAGCCCTGGACACAGCTGGGTGTGGCCCCCAAACAAAAATCCCTAGCCATTTCAGCTAAATTCTGGATTTTATTATCATTTAGTTACTAGATAAGACTATGTGAGTACAGTTTCTAATATGATCAGATTTCCACTTATGACATTTCTCGGCTGGAGCGATAGCACAGTGGGTAGGGCGTTTGCCTTGCACGCTGCCCAGTTTGATTCCTTTGCCCCTCTTGGAGAGCCCGGCAAGCTACTGAGAGTATCTCACCTGCACGGCAAAGCCCTGCAAGCTCCCCATGACGTATTCATTATGCCAAACACAGTAACAACAGTCTCACAATAGAGACGTTACTGGGCCCGCTCGAGCAAATCGATGAACAACAGGAGGACAGTGACAGTGGTATTTCTCCTACCTTGCTTATTTTTTTTGCAACTACACACACACACCACCACCACCACCACCACCACACTCAAAAAGTTGTATCAAAATACAGAACTCAATTTTCAAATTTACATGGCTAAGAAAAATCTCAGATAGTATCTATCCTTTCAGCCTTTGAAATTTCCCCAAGTGGCAGTCAAGTGACAAGAGCAAATACTTTATCTACCCAAACAAAACAAAACAAAACAAAACAAAACCATAACTATTATTTTGTTTGACTTAATCAATGCAGAATACTAAACATCTTTGAGCCATGTCTGTTGTTTATACTTGCATCCCTACAGCCAGAATAAAAAAACTGAAATTTTAAGCATCAAGAATGAGATGCCTAAAGGTTCCCTTTATCATTGATGCTCTTTATCATACATAATACATAATATATTCTACATGAACACAATATGATGACAACTCGTAGTCCTGAATCTCAAAGACTTCTAATTTAACAGGTATGATGTAATCTACACACTAGTAACTACATAGAATTAGACCACACACAATAAAGCACTTAAAATTAACATTTGTATCTGTTGTGCTTTGATCCATGCTTTCTATAAGGGCATTAAAACTGCCTGAATGAATACAAACACTTTTCATCTGCCTTTGTACACTGATGTGGCATCAGGCACCCACAAATATAGGTATAGTTTTTCAGGAAAATTTTATTACTTCAGCTGTCACAATACACTTAAATCCAAGAGTACTACAAGTTTTAACTTAGATATACTGAAATCTTTTAGCATATTTTTTCTACAATAAATTTACACCTTATTTTTCATAACACTAATAATTTCATCACACAGTCTATGATGCAACAGAAGGAAATAAATCACCAGGTTATTACAGGTTTCCTTCACCTAAAGCTACACTGATAACCACTCAACTATATTACTGAGGTTACTTGCTGATTTTTAAATAATGTGCTTCATCCATAAGAAAATAATCAGCTCTCCAAAATTATTCAACTATTTATTTCATATGTGTTCAGACAGTATTGTGGCAAACTCTGTATTCTAATGTTTATACACATACTAAAAAAAATTGATGTACCATAAAATTTTGTGGGAATCAGTTATCTTAAATTTAGCAAAATGCTATTTCAAATAATCAGATGCAAAAGTGTTCAAAAAACAAATGCTGCTTTTAGACTAAGAATTATGAAAATTGAAGGTGCAATTAACATCACACAGCAGGAATTATTATATTCTAACTTTCAAAAAATGACTGGACTCCAATTAAGTTTTACTTCTTGGATTTCTAAATTACCTGAAAATTTGAAAATCTGAATTTTGAAATTTCTGAAAATTTCAAGCATTTTCACCTGTCCTATTTCAACAGCCTTCGGATTCTCTGCATAAGGCTTTTTCTTATCTGCCATACTGCACTACCAAGAGTTATTCAAAATGAATATAGAGTATGTGACACAGCCAGTACAATTCTCCAAATACAGGGAAACACAGAAGGCAAATACAACAGACAAAGTGACGTTAATAAAGAGCCCATACAGGCCAAGGCCATATGTCAAAAATGTCACAAGAAATATGAATCAGATAAAAATAATTTCCGATTGGGACACTTTATCAAGATACCACCATTGTATATTAGAAGTACGAGGGCTAAGAGCAGGGAAAGCAGAAATTGGATTATTAATAAAGGTGGTTAGTAAAGGTGGAAGCAAGGGTCCAACCCTCATTCAAACACAGGATGGAGTGATGGCAACGAGACACAGGAGCAAATCCATGGAATTGCACACACACTACAAACGGATATCCACAGCTTTTCTACTGTGGTTGTCCCCGAAAACATCCTTCACTGAACAGCTATATGAAGAGACTAAGCACAGCCACTGATTTCATTATCCTAAAAATAACAACTGGGCACTTTTTCTTTGGAGTCTTAAAAAGGAATTGTTAGTTTTCAGCGTTCATGTTTCTCATTCTGGCTAAAGGAAACTGCCCATCTTTGCACGTATCTGAACCTCCTGAAACAAGAGATAGAGGGCCTATATTGGTGCTTCAGTTAAAAGCTGGATTCAGGCATTAGTCAACCAATTACTAGCACAGAGAAGCAGATTATTACAGTATGAGACTGATTTTAAGGACAGCTTACAAAAAGAGGATGCTGGAGATAAGGATGACACATTTCCACTTAAGAGAAGCTAGGTTTAGCAGAAAATAATAAGTGAGAGCCCAACAGAAGCTGTGACTGACATAAGCGCTTCTATGATCTATAACCTTTCTTTCATCTGTAATGCTTAAACTGTATTTGTAGAGCTTTGTTCCCACTGGAGAAAAAATATGGTTTTTACTGTAGTCTTGTATACTGGCCTTTTTGGTATGCCACAAATCTTATTAACTGACCTAGAATGGCTGGAGGAATATAAAACCACTAACGAGTGTGCCTGGAAAGATAGTAAAGGAGGCAAGGCGCTTGCTTGTCTGGGAGGTGTCTGACCTGGACTCAGACCCGAGCATCCCATATGCACCGCCAGGAGTAATTCCTGAGTGGGGGGGGGGGGGGGGTAAGCCCTGAGCATCGCTAGGTGTGACTCTAAAACTAAAATACAAAATCAAACCACTACCTACTCATGGAAGGCTTAAAGATTTAAAGATATAGCACAACTGATAAACACCGGATTGGAAAAATCACACCGGTGAGTTATTCTTTAAACCAGCGAATGCTAAGAGTCCCTTCTGGACATGAATGAAATGCCGTATTTCCCCCCAAACTTTCTAAAGAAATGGCAGATTATGCTAGGTCACTAGAATCCTCTATTTCTCTTTTCCCATTTCCCAGAGAACCCCTCACTGCACACTCTCTCTCTGTCTCAATCTGCACACTCTCTCTCTCTCTCTCTCTGTCTCAATCTCTGTCTGTCTCTCTCTGTGTCACACACCACATCACACCAAGGCTTGCTTCCTTTCCTCTACTTGGGGCAACCTGAAGGTGCTGTTCTTAAACCCTAAATACACAAGCCCACGCTGGGTGACTGCCAGTGTCTCTCTGCAACTGCAGGTGACAGATGCGATCCGAGCGCGCACAGATGTGGACTGGCTGCAGACTGCGCCTCAGTGCAACGAGCCACACGAAGAGAACCGGCAGATGCCCCTCTCGGCAGCAGGAGACAGTTGAAAAACCATCAATCCCTATTAAAACGTACTTTGCGGGTCCCGGCCGCCTATTATTGACCGCTTATCCCCCTCTACCCTCCCTCCCACTCTCATCCGGGCTTGGCCCTCCACCCACAATTCATTCTTCTCTCCATCAGCTCCATCTCCTTCGTCACCAGACCTAATTCCGCGTTAAAACATCAACAATAATAATAAACTAAAAACGAGGCTGCTGGGCATTGTTGAGACCAGACACCGACGGAGCTGCCCTCCCGGAGCCTTCCCGCCGCGGCCGAGGCCGCTGGAAGTTTGCTCGGGAAGCAACGGCACCCTCCCCCCTTCCCTCCCCGCCCCATAGCATCTCTTCGGGGACCCTCAGCCAAGGGGGGGTGCAGAGGTTCCACGAGGGGGCAGGTGCGGAGAAGCCCCCTTCCCCGGTCTCGCCCCTCCGCGGCGATCACGCAAAATAAAACCCCCTCTAAGCCTACAATTCCCCCGCACCCCCCCCCCCCCGCCCCGCGCCGCGGCCGCCGCCGGATAACGCTCCAGCGTAGTGACGCCCCACCCCCACCCCGTTATCCCTAACAGGATCCCCGAATCTGACGGAGCGGCCCGAGAACCGGACCGGACCCTCCCGCGGCCCCGGGACCGAGCCGCCCACCTGAGCGCCCCAGGAGCCACTCACCCGCCCACGCACCCCACCCCCCCCGACCCGGACGCGCTCGGCGGCCCGGGCCCCGCACTCCCCGGCCCCGCGCCCACACGGGGGCTCCGCACCCGGCCCCTCAGGCCGCCGGGTGGCCCGCGCTCCCACCCCCACCCCCACCCCCATCCCCCGGCCCGGATCGCCCTCGGGGTTACCGTGGATAGAGCTGACGGCGACAGAGGACGCGGCGGCAGCGCTGCTGCCGGTTGCGTCGGACGCGAAGGATCAGCTCGAGGATAAGGATGATGATGAGACGGGCGCGCTCCCCAGTCTCCATGGAACTCCCGCCCCGGCCCGTTGCTAGGAGCCCCCGAGGCTCGGGCTCCGTCTTTCGTGCTTTGTTGTTCCGGGTATAGGGCGGCCGCGGCTTCCCCGCGACAATAAATAGACTAGACGCCGGGGAGCATAGAGACAGAGCGCGGAAGCTAGAGCGCCGCCCGCCCGGGAGCCTGTGAGCTCCTTGCTAGCCAGTCATTTCCGGCTCTCACTGCTCCCACCACTTTCCCCCGCCTCTTCCCGCACTTTCCTTCTTCCTGGTCCGCTAAGTCAGCGCCCCCCCCCCCCACGTCCCCCTCCTGTCCGCCCACTGGGAAAGATGGGGGCTTTGGCGCGGGGGGGCGGGGGGGGGGGGAAGAGGGGACGTTATAAACCAGATTTTGTTTGAGAACCGTTTGGAAGGACGTAGGGAAAAAAAAAACTACATATGAAAACGATCACTCAGATAGGAGTATATTTTCTTGCAGTGCATTCTAAAACGTGGGGACTTTAGCTTTTGCGGGGTGGAGGATCAAAACCTTGAACTTGCTTGTTGGCTCTTTTCCCATCAGAGTTCGCCTTGTCACCTCGTCCATAAAAAGCCCGTCCTGACTAGATTTCGAAGTTCTTTTCTCTCTGGGCGCGGGAGGTGGGGTGGGGTGGAGGGTGCTGCTTTTTTTTTTTTTTTTTTCAGTGAAAAGAAAAGCGTTGATTGACGACCCCGCGATAAAGCGTTGGGATGCCGAGGCACGTCCAGCCTCGTCCTCACGGGGAGCTTGAGTGGTGCCTGGAGGAACCGATTGACCGCAGGGGACGGGTGGAGCGAGACGGGGGGCGGGGAAGGACGGAAGGACGAGTGGAGGCTGACGCGGGGAGTGGAGGTCACCCCCGGGTCGCCTGTCACTTTGTTCTTCCTGACTCCGCTGGGCTTGGGGTCGGGGTTCGGCCCGGGAGCCGCGGGGCCGGCCCTGGCGAGGCCCCGGTTAATGCCGGGGCTCCCGATCGGGGAAAGGCTGGAGGTGGGCGGCGGCGGCGGCGGCGGAGCCGGGCTTGGGTCCACGGACGTGGGAGACGTTCACGTGGGCGACGGGGCCGCCGGAGCCTGCCCGGGCACTGCGCCCCGGGGAAACGCGGGCTGACCCGGGGCTGACCCTCGCCGGTGTGACCGGGGCCCGTGGAGGGCGGGCTGGGAAGCGGCGGGCGGAGCCCCGCAGCCAAAGACATCCCGGCGGCGCTGACTCTGCGGACACCGGACACCGCGGTTCCCACCGCAGACCACGCACGGCGTTGGGCGTGCGGGGATCTGGCCTTGTCCGGGAAACGGGGATGAAAACTCATGTCACTCAGGGCTTGCGAGGGAAAGAAGACCGGGGCTGAATTGTGGGAGATCAGGCAAGAGGCAACTCTCTGGGGTGTTTCATTATTTGGCGAGTCTTTAAAATTGCCTCCTGGTTCGGTATACGTATGGTTTCCTTTCGAAATGTTCAGCGAAATAGCTGAGCACTTAAAAAACTGTGCAAATCCCACGGGGTGATTAGGATAGCACTTGATTGGAAAACCCTTGGCCCCGGGTTATATAAATGAGAATGCCAAGGAAGGGGGGGGGGAGGGAAGGAGGAGACAAGACTGGCAGTAACATAAAGACATTGGTCAAGAGTCTTGGACATTTCCATGATGCAACCATGTACATCCAAACCGTAAGACTATGCTCGTGTAAGACATGTGACCCAAACTATAATTTTATTTATTTGCTTTTTGGGTCACACCCAGCGATGCTCGGGTTATTCCTGGCTCTGCTCTCAGGAATTACTCCTAGCCGTGCTTGAGGGATCATATGGGATGCCAGGGATTGAACTCGGTCAGCCACGTGCAAGGCAAACTAGCGACCCACTGTACTATCTCTCCAGCCCCCCCCCACCATAAATTTTAATCAGAGAAAATGAATTTGCTAAGGAGGTGCGGTGGGTAAGGGAGGAAACCTTGGGTCGTTGGTGGAGGGGTTGGATGCTGACATGGCGTGAGTTTGGAGCTGGAACATAGAATGCCTGAAGCTCTGCCTAAGAAAAATAAAATGCTCGATAAAATTAGAAAGTTTTAATTCTGTTTCTATTTCTGTGATTTATTTATTTATTTATTTTACTTTTTGGGTCACATCTGGCGATGCACAGGGGTTATTCCTGGCTCTGCACTCAGTAGTTACCCCTGGCAGTGCTCAGGGGACCATATGGGATGCTGGGAATGCAACCCGGTAGGCCGTGTGCACGGCAAACTCCCTACATGCTGTGCTATTGCTCCAGCCCCTATGATTTATTTTTTAAAAGATCATTGCAGCATGTAGTGTATATAATGAAGGAAATGAGCAATAGGCGGGATTACAATAATAATGTCTTCGTGTTTGTAGCTGACGGCTTTTAGGAGGCAACATTTCAGCTGATGGCCAAAATGGTTAGACTTGGAATAATGTGGAGAGGGAGCAGGATATTCTCCTTGCTGTGCAAGAGAATTGGCTGAATGTAACGTTCTGATCAGAGCAAGCAGAGAACCATGTAAAAGTGAAAGTGTTCAAGTAATAGAGAGTTAAAGGAATAGAGCTCGAGACTGGCATGTGCCAGGGCTTGTTCTATTAGTGATACTCACAGGATCATTCTCCGCACCTGCAACTTACACACCCCCTGCCCACCTAAGTTGCTCCTCACAATTGTGAAAAAAAAATGAGAAATTGGAATGGGAATTAAAGGGTGTTTTGTTGTGTGTGTTTCTTTTCTTTTTTTATGTAGACCACAGGAATTCAGATTTTCTTTTAAGAGTCAGGGAGAAGTATTTCAGTTTTAGAGTAACATGCTCTGATTTACCAGAAAGCTTGTAGTGGAAAAGCACAATTCCAGTGATTATGGTCACTTCTGAAAATTCCATTTTACAGCAACATGACTAATTTTAAGGTCTGTGTTAAGGGGTTTTTTTTGTTTGTTTTTCAGGAAAAAATACTTGGTATCAAGTAGATAGATTAGTTTGGACTCTTCTATTTTAAATAATCAATTGTCTCATCACAACATTCCTCATTCTGAAATTGGATTTAATTTTACTGCAAGCACCGTTCTGTAGAGACATATGAATCAGTGAAGCAGCTCATTAGACATCATCTATTTCTTTAACCAAAGAACTCATTTCATGATCAAAGAAGACAATGAAATAAAGTCTCTGGGCTGTACTGATTTTATAATGTGTTCTGTTTGTCAAGTGACAATGGAATATACAGTCTGAACCAAAACTCTTGATTAATAAAGAAATCTATCTGGGAATGGGGAATCATAGTTGTCTTCTAAAAAGTAGATGTGGATGGAGGTAGTAAGGAGCCATCTCTTCCCAGGCTTGGAAAATAGTGAGTTCTCTCAGATTAGTGCTGTGCAAAAAGTGATAATAGACCAAAACTAGTCTACACACTATATTGATCAGCAATGAAATAGGTATAGAAACTGGGGAACATTTTGAAACTTAGTTTGGCATTCTCTAAGATCTAAACAATGAGGTTTTGTTTTTATGAGACCATTTATTCATGATGAATTGGTATTTGAAAGCAAAGAAAAATATTGAACCTTCACAAGAGATAATTGAATTATTTGTTATACCCACTTCACACTTTACTAACTTAATTTAAATAACTAAAATATGTTAGCTACTTCTTGTCTCTCTTAATACCACAAGAGAAACTGGCTCAACATGGTCTTATTATAGACACAACTCAAAGTATAGTAACAAATATACAAGATTACTGAGAGTCATCCTTCTAGCCAATGTTTTCACACTGTCTGTCCCGTTGTTCATTGATTTTGCTCGAGCGGACCCAGTAACATCTCCATTTTGAGACTTGTTGTTACTGTGTTTGGCATATTGAGTATGTCACAGGTAGCTTGTCAGGCTTTGCCATGCGGGCGAGATACTCTCAGTAGCTTGCCGGGCTCTCCGAGAGGGGGAGAAACCTAACCCCGGCCCGTCCGGGCTGGCTGCGCACAAGGCAAACGCCTTACCGCTGTGCTATCGCTCCAGTCCCTGCCAATGTTTTAGTTATCCTATTCCATCAATGGAAACAACTCAATTTCCTGCCCCAAGTAGTTAATACACTAAAATTGTAAGGACCCAGCAGAACAGTAGAATCAGTGATGCCTCATGTCTCTGAATTCTTTACAAATATTTGCAATTTCGTCACTTACTAATGGAAGAAATCAATTCATCCCAATGCCAGTTGAGAGGAATACAATAGCAGGTGGAGTCTGATGCTGTAATCCTCTTTTTCCTTCTGATAGTCTATGGCAGACATATTGAACTAAGATTGAGGGAGATTAACAGAGCCACTAGGCCAGTATTCAAGAGAGGAAAACAGGAAGGACAGAGTTCATATTCAAAGTTTATGTCTCATAAGCTAATAATTTCTCTCAAGTGACACTGGCTGGTAGCCAAAGTACTGTTTAAGATGTTGCCAGAAAGTCATTTTCCTGACAGAGGTACCTACAGAACACCTGTCTTAAAGGTAATGCCCCATCTCCATGCCTGTAAAAAGATAAACTTGGTTCCAGGGAAAATTCCTTTTAACTACTACTCTGAGGGCAGAGTTTTTAAGGACAGTGGACCAAAGTAAAGTTCACCTTTTGATGGTTAATCAAATATTTCAGGTCTTTCTTACCCTATTACTATCTTGCAGGATGCTTGCTCACAGCCATAGCATACCACACGTCTCTTTTTGTCTTTCAGTGTTGATTAGTATTACCCTAGCTTTCATTATTTACTATATACTTAAGTATCACTGCATCCTGTCATCCCGTTGTTCGTTGATTTACTTGAGCGGGTGCCAGTAACATCTCTATTTGTCCCAGCCTTGAGATTTTATTTATTTTATTTTTTTTATGTAGGAGTACTGCTATTTATTCAGCCACTGATTGGCTGATTGAATTGGGCATGAACTCCACCTTACTTTTTTTTCATTTTTTTATAATTTTATTTATTGAATCACTGTGAGAGCAGTTACAAAGATTTTGGGTTTAAGT